CAATTGAAGATTTGAAACCAAAAGTGTAGTCTGTGGCCCCCAGCACTAGTCTGGCCTGAGACCTTGTTAAAAATGCAGAAATCAGATCCCAGTCCAGAATCCAATCTGGATCTACTGGATCAGAATAAGCTAAAATTTTATCCAACGTGACTCAAAGGTGCGTTGAAGTCAGAGATTCACAGGCCGTGTTTGGGGTCAGGGCCAGCGTCTTTCCCTCACTTGCTCCTTTAATTTCTGTGGCTGCTCAGACCTTGGACTTTGGCCTATAGTTCAGATTCTGCTCGGGAGTGAGACTGAGCTGCCTCCCAGGTGACAGCACTAAATTACCCCTCCTCCTCCTAGTCCTCCTCCAGCAAGTCTCTGTATACTCATCGCTGGCTGGAAAATTAGAACTATGTTCATCGTGATTTTGAAGAAATGAGCCAGTGGAATCCTGGTCAGGAAAGTATGATAACACATGTCTGAAATTTACTATCTAAAATGGTTAAAATTAACAACAAAAACAACAACAATGTCCTGTTGCTTAATTTATTTGAACTGCAGCAATCCGGAAAAGTCGTCAATGCAAAATGAGTCACTCACTGAAGGTTCTGAATAAGATTCTAAAATCACCACCCGTGGTTTTCCTGTACTTTGAAGTAACAGAACAAATGACAGCAGAGATGGGCACTGTCCCCTGAGTCCAGAATGGATGATACACAAACATCTCACAACAATAACATCCTCAACTAAAAACAAACTGAAATAAGGATGTTATTTCTGCAATTTGCTTGTGCCTTTCAGTTAGTAAGAATCTGTGCACCTGTGTGCAGAGACCTAAAACCAGGATGGCTTGTGGGTTTTTGTACAGTCAGTCAACAAACTTGTTGAGGCTTCCTCCACGCAGACCCTGTGCTAAGGTCAACTCTCAGTGTGAAATGCTCATGGAGGAAGAACTAGGATCTCAGGTGAGAACCATAAAAGAGGAATCAGTGAGGAGGCTAATAAGGGGGAGGGAGACAGGCAAGGCCCAGGAGGTGAATTTGGAGATGCAGGGTCAACAGGGGGTTTGATCAACAACTAGAGGTAAATCACCACACAAGGATGGAGCAGCCTGTGCCAGGTCCAGAGGAAGAAAAGACCTGATTGTCAGGGTTCTCCCAGCAAGAAGATAATCCAGCGCTGTGGAGGAAAAACTCAAGCAGCTCTTTGGATCATATAACAAACAATGGGTAACTCTACAGATCCTGGCAAGGCTTTGCTGTTGTGCGCTGGCCTCTGGGTGACTGCTCCTGGTCACACACACCCAGCCCGTTTCCCACTCACCTTGGGGTGCCCTGTCTGTGCCTCTTCCACCTCTGAACCCCTGTAGTAAATGCCTAATCATCTTCCAGCCTCAGCTCTGGGTTGCCATTTTCTCAGGCCTCCACCATGCTCGGAACACGGACACTTCCCCTCTTCAGCATGGATGGGAGGCCATGGACAGGAGGTAACAGCAGAGTTGGAAGGAAAGGAGTTGGTCTTGGTTTGGGACAACTTAAAGCTGGAACACTTTTAGGAAATCCAGTCATGGATATCCTAAGGTTTTGACTCAAGGAAGAGTAGCAATTGCAGATATAGATTGGGGAGTCAACAGAAAATTGAAGAAATGCATCTCTCCACCTGCCTGATTCTGTCTCCTCACATCATCTTTTTCTGTTATAATGGATGAGCCCAGCACCCCTACTAGACCTCATCCCCTCTCATTATTCAAGGACACTGCTCTAGTAATTCTCTTTCCTGCATCATGAACTTGAGATCTCTTCTTCATTGGATCAATCTCATCCCAAATCCTCACATTAAAACAAAACTCTTTAGTCCCAACAACTTAGGAGGCTGAAAGAAAGGAAGAAAGAAAATTAAACAAATGATCAAACAATAACAAAAAACACCTCTTGATCCCACCTACCCTTCTAGCAACTGTCTCATTTCTCTGTTCCTCTTCACAGTGAATTGTTGAATTATCTGTACTTAGCCTCTACTTCTCCCCTCCCATTCCCCTTAGTTTTTGCTTCCAATTCCACCAAAACTCATCTTCCCAAGGTCACCAATGACTTCCATGTGGCCAACTACACAAATCTTCTTACTTAGCTGCAGACACTATCTAAGTCACCACAATCTCCAGCTTCACCTCCCACCCTTCTGGCTACTCCTACTAAGTCTCTTTCCTAGTGCTGATTTATCTTCCTGACCTGTGTGTTATCCTACCCCAGGACTCTGTCTTTGGTTCTCTTTTCTTCTCTGTCTACCTGCATTCTTTATTTGATGCCTCGTAGGCATCTTGAATTGAATATACTCAAAACTGAATCTGTGATATTTGTCCGCCAAATGCAATCTTCCCACAGTGTTTCCCATTTTGGCTAATGGCCATTCTGCTCTTCCAAGGTGTCCAGGACTAAAAGCTTGCTGTTGGGTGATGTCAGCAAAATGGCAGAGTAGGTAGCTCTAAACTCCTATCACTGCAAACAGAATCAATAAACTAACTGAATGTCAGAACCAACTGTCAGATTTTAGATGAACAGTCATCCAAACACTGAACCAAGAAGAAAAGGAAAATCAAATAGATAGTGGTTACCAGGAACTGGGGGAGGCAGGAACAGGGAATTAACATGTAATGAGTACAGAGTTTCAGTTTGGGTTGGTGAAAAAGTTCTGGGAATGGATAGTAGTGATGATGGCACAACAATGAACATACTAAATATTACTGAAGTATCCACTTAAAAATAGTTAAAATAGTTAAATGGGGGCTGGGGATGTGGCTCAGCTGTAGAGCACTTGCCTAGCACACGCGAGGCCCTGGGTTTGATCCTCGAACCACATAAAAATAAATAAAATAAAGGTATTGTGTCCAATTACAACTAAAAAATAAATATTAAAAAAATACTTAAATGGTAGTTTTGCTACATATATACAATATATATGTGGTATATTTTACCACAATAATAAATGAGAAAACACTTTGTGACATTTTTAATAGGACGTGCCCAATTCCCTGACTTGATGACAGTATTGAAGATGTTAGCCCATGTTTGCACTGCAGGACCCTGCTCCCTAGTTCTGGAAGACGAGAGCAGACTTTACTTATAAATTATTCTGCAAGTGTATTCTAACCTATCTCAGGGCTATTTGAAGGACAGATGCAAGATGCTCATCTCAGTTTTGTCTTAACTTCAACTCACCTAGACCAGAATAGCACCAGACAGCACTCTGGAATACTGTCAGGCTGGTGAACAATCTGCAGATGCCTGAGGCAAAGGATTTTGGTTGGGATATGTAAAAGATCACCTAAGGCCAGAAAGGAAAAGCAGGGAGTTTCCTTGGGAAATTAGAACATTTAAAAGCACCCTTGTGTAAGAAGAAATTTAGAAAGTCTCATCCCATAAAACATGTGAGGTTTTAAGACTTCTGATTGGTCCTAGGCCCACTGAAGTCTGGGTAAGGTTAAAAGAGGGATCAGAGCACAGAGGCCATCTGCAAAGACTGGGAGAAGTGTTTTTGTTTGTCTGCTTAGCTTCTGACATTCAAGATCTGTCAATCACTAGCTGATCACAAGCCAAGGAACAGAAATTTAAGGAACCACATTTGAAAAGAAATGTAATCTATGAAAAAAAAAAGTAGGAAAAGTCACTAAACAAACAAATTAGTATAACCTCCAACAACAACATCAATAAAAAGCCCAGAAAAACCTGCAGCAGGGTCTAAAAGACAATGATTTTCATGGTTTAAAAGACAAATGCATTAAAAAGTAATGATAAATATGTTATTGGGGCACATAAAGATGTAATCTGTAACAACATGGGGGGGGGACAAAGTTATATAATTTTTGTATACTGTTGAAGTCAGTATTGGTTCAAACTGGACTGCAATAAATTTAAGACACTTTATATAAATACCCATAACAACCACAAAGGAGATATCTAAAAAAGATGCAAAAAAAAAAAAAATGAGAAGGGACTCAAAACAACTCTTTTCCGCCACACACAGTACACACAGGGTGGGGCAGTAATGGAGGAAATGAGGGATTGAAAAGGTGCAAGACGATTAAAAAGGCATAAGCAAATACAAAATTGTAGAAGGAAGTCTTTCCAATCGGTAATACCTTAAATGTAAATCAATTAAAATCTCCAATCCAAAAGCAGAAATAATAGAATGGATTTTAAAATCGTGATCCAATATGCTATCCACGAAATACTTACTTTAGACCCAAAGATACAAATATACTGTAAGTGAAAGGATAAAAAAAAGTATTTCATACAAATTTTAACCAAAAATGAGTTGGGGTGGCTATCAGACAAATAGATCTCAAGTCAAAACGGTTTCAAGAGACAAAGGACAATGTATACTGTTAAATGGGTTGATCCATCAAGAAGATATAACAATTATAAGTGGATATGTACCAAACTACAGAATACCAAAATATGAGACAAATATTAATAGAATCAAAGGGAGAAAAAATTCCATGATAATGGAAACTTTTGGAAATTTCAGTAACTGCTTTCAATAATATATAGAATGCCTAGGTAAAAGATCAATAAGGAAATAAAAGATTTCAACAACACTATAAACCAACTAGATGTAAAAAAAATACATATAGAACACCCCACCTTCCATTACCAGTACACATCCTCACATGTGCATGCACATACCTGTATCATTAGCAAATAGGCCATATGTTAGGCCACAAAACAAGTCTCAATAAGTCTGAAAAGACTGAAATCACACAAAGTATCTTCTCTGACCACAACTGAATGGAAACAGAAATAACAGAAAGAAAACTGGAAAATTCACAAATGTGGATATTACACAACCTATGGGTCAAAGAAGAAATCATAAAGGAAATTAGAAAACACTTTGAGATAATGAAAAATGCACAACACACCAAAAGTTACAGGATGCAGTAAAAGATGCTTAAGAGTAAAGAAAAAAAAAAAAAAGGAAGTAGGGACATTATCACCGATTTTATAGAAGTAAAAAGAATTGCTTTTAGCGAGCGACGCGGTTGTTGGTGCGGAGGAGCAGTCCTCTGCCTGCTTCTGCTCCTGACTCACTGCTGTTCACTCTTGCCGAGGAACAAGTTGGTCAGGAAGCTGCGCCGCAGCCATGGCATTTAAAGACACCAGAAAGACACCCGTGGAACCAGAGGTGGCGAATCATCGAATCAGAATTACCCTTACCAGCTGCAACGTGAAGTTGCTGGAGAAAGTGTGTGCTGACTTGATCAGAGGTGCAAAGGAAAAGAATCTCAAAGTGAAAGGACCTGTTCGCATGCCTACGAAGACTTTGAGGATCACTACAAGAAAAACACTTTGTGGTGAAGGTTCCAAGACATGGGATCATTTCCAGATGAGAATACACAAGCGACTCATTGACTTTCACAGACAGCCCTTCTGAGATTGTTAAACAGATTACTTCCACCAGTATTGAACCAGGAGTGGAAGTTGAAGTCACCATTGCAGATGCCTAAGTCAACTGTTTTAATAAATTGATTTTCAGTTGTTAAAAAAAAAAAGAATTATAAGAATACTATGAGCCAGACACAGTGGCACACGCCTATAATCCTAGTGGCTCTGGAGGCTGAGGCAGGAGGACTGCAAGTTGAAAGCCAACCTCAGCAACTTTGTGAGGCCCTAAGCAACTTAATGAGAGCCTGTCTCAAAAAAAAAAAAAAAAGATACCATGAACAATTGCACATCAACAAATTTGATTGATATAAAAAGTAAAGAGCCAAGGGCTGGAGTGGTGGCTCAGTGATAGAGTGCTCGCCTAGCACGCATGAGGCACTGGGTTCAATCCTTGGCACCACATAAAAACAAACTAATGTATCCACCTAAAACTAAAAAGATACACAAATAAATATTTTTTAAAAAAGAGCCAGGTGCAGTGGTATACCTCTGCAATCTCAATGACTCAAGAGGCTAAACCAGGAGGATCCCAAGTTTAAGGGCAGCCTGGGCAACTTAGCAAGGTGGGGATGCAGCTCAATGACAGAGCACAATGTGTTCAATCCCTAGCCCTCCCACAAAAGAATTGTCCAAGACTAGAAAGAAACACTGGCAAACTCTACCAAATACTTAAAGAATTGACCCTAATCCTTCTCAAACTGCTCCCCAAAAGAATAGAAGGAACATTTTCTACTTCATTCTACGTGGCTCATATTACCCTGACCCAAACCAGATAAAGGCACCACATAAAGACACCACATGGAAAGAAAGTTACAAATGAATATCCCTTATAAATATAGATGAAAAAATCCTCACAAAATAATAGCAAATTAAATTCAACAACAAATAAAATCCAACACCCTTTCATGATGAAAACACTCAGAAAACGAGGAACCCTATGTATATTGTGTGCACATATGAATATATAACATGAAACCCCATCATTATGTACAACTATAATGTACCCATTTTAAAAATGGGGGGAAACTAGGAACCAGCTCTCCCCCTCCCCTAATGTCCTACTCTTCATTCTCCATTCACTCTAGTTCTCTCTCTTTATTCTCCTTACCCTTGTACATGTGCCAGGTGTGTAACTCCGGCCTTTGCATTTGCTGTTCCTGCACCTGAACACTCCTCCTGCAGACACCTGCAGAGCTAGCAGCGTAGCTCTGTAGGTGTCTTCCAAATTTTTTCAAACCCCTTTCTCAGTGAGACCTTCCTTGTCTGACCTATCTAAACTTTCACATAGACCTTAGAATTTTATGTTCTCCTCCCTTATCTTTTTTTTCTTGCTATTGCTAAGATTGTATGCATTTTTAATTTATTGCCTGTTTAGAATGTAACATAGGGCAGTGTTTTGGTTTTTTTTTTTGCTATTGTTTGCTACTATATCCCTAGGAACTGGAACAGTGCCTATGATAAAGCTCTTAATAAATACATTCAATGAATTATCAATTCATCTATATGTAGGTGGAAGTTGAAAGCCCCAGGAAGACTGCAGAGCGAGGATGTGGGTTGAGCACAAACCCTGATGAACACCAGCTCCGATGCAGGAAAACAGGCGATCCTGTGCAGAACTAAATAGGAATGCAATTAGCTGAATAACAGTGAATCTTATCAAGATTAATGATCTCACTAACAGTAACAAATGAACACTGGCCTAAGAAAAAAACTGAGAAAGCTCAGGGCCTATCACTTAATGCTGAAAGAATGTTTTAGAAAGACTCTCTAGAATATTGTATTTCAAGGACTTCGAGAGGTATGTTGTGGGGGATTCCAAGGAATCCTCATATTGTATTACAGTGCACACCTAGAATTTCTATCAGGTATCATAAGTACTGGGTAACTTCAAAACATATTTTTTTAATGTGAATCCTTGCCTATATGGAATCCTTGTATACTGCAAGTCATTCACAGAAAGTAACCTGGGTAAGTACTATTAATCATGTGTTGTTCCTCCCCCAAATGCTAGAGAACTCAGCAGTGGGGAGGGATGGTTCCTCACTGAAGAGATCTGGGCAGCCTTGTTGAAGGAAGGGGAATTCATCAAGCTGAACTTTGAGGGATGAATGAGACTCTCAAGTGCAGGGCATAAAGTGTGTGTGGGTTAGGGAGGTGTGCAGTGGGCAGAGGCAGTGCAATGGATATGAATCTAGAATGCAAGTTCAGGCTTTGGCTCAGAGCCTTAAATGCCAGAATCATACTGTCTTGGGAAACTTTAGAAGATGTTCCAAAAAATGACAAGGAAATGAGACTGACATAAAAAAGACATGCCATTTTTTTCCTCTAACAAAACAACATGAGTTCGTTCTGCCAGTTCCAATGGCTTAAAGTTTTCTAAGAAATTGCCATTGTTCTTAAAATAAAGGCACGCTTTCCTGAGCAAAGTTGTGCACACCTATGACTCCAGTGACTTGGGAGAGTGAGGCAGGAGGATCACAAGTTCAAAGCCAACCTGGGTAACTTCTGAAACCATGTCTCAAAATAAAAAAATAAAATTAAAAGGGATAAAGATGTGGCTTAGTGACACAGAATCCTTGGATTCAATTCCCAGTACTGCAAAAACAAACAAAACAACAAAAGAAATAATAACACACCTTTATCATAACCTGCAAAACTGTTTGGCTTCTGCCTTCTGCCATTCCCTTGCTCCTTGTGCTGCAGCCACACAAGCCTACTTGAGATTTTCTCCCACCAGAATTTTGAGTCTGCTGTCCCTACTACATGGACAATTGTCCTCCCTCCTCTTTGCCTAGTTAAATTTTAATTCTCCCCCTTCCTTCAGGTCACAGTTCACACACTCCTTCGTGAGAGACACTCTCCTCAACCTCCCCATTCAAATGTTATCATGGTACAAAGTATTTCTCTATCATGGCTTACCATGTAATACATTGTCCTTGTTTGAATAATATGCCTGTTTAGTAGGCTTGAAACCCCTGGTCAACTGCATGCCCAATGTCTGCACACAGAAAGTGTCCAGCGACTATTTGTTGCAAGGAGGAGAAAGTCAGGACACTGGGCAGAACTATGTGCAGGGAAGACTACTTACCATTTATTTTAAGGAATCAAATAATGTAATGCTGCTCTATCCCTTGCTGTCTTAAGCTTTTTAGAGTTTGTTCTAGAAGTTCACAGATTGTCAGCTTGTCTGGTTTAAAAAAAAAAAAAAGTACTTTCAGTTAGTGTATTTATGAGCAGGGAAGAGGGAAGAAGGCAGAGTGGGCCTTCTTACAAGTATAAATCTGACCCTATTCTTGTTTCAATTCTTCTTTTTCAATATATAGGTTGACACAGCTCAAAGTCTTGCAAGCCTTCAAGCTGAGGCAGCAGTCTGTTTTTTCGCTATCTTTTCTGGGAAGTCTTGCTTATATGGTGCTCTTTCACTTTACTTCCTCTTATATGGGATTTGTGACACATAATTGAACTAAGAAACAAACACACCTGAACTGAGCACCTGTGTAAAGACCCTTATGGCCAACAAGACATGCTTGAGAGTCCCACACCAAGTTCCTCTATGCTTCAACAACCAGTCTCCTTTGGTGGCACAAATGTGGCTTTCTAGAGACAGCACTAATTCAGTGGTTCAGCATGATGCCATCTGCATTTAACCTATGAGTTCTGGTACAGTCTTCAACTTCTTTGAGTCCTTGTTTTCTGTTTATAAAATGGGAGTGGTATAACAAATGGACTCAAAAAAAAAAAAAGAAAGAAAAAAGAAAAGAAAACCACCAACAACAAACTGAGTACCACACCCAATAATTTTACATGAACAATTCACCTAGTCTTCACAATTCTCTCATGAGGTCAGAAATACTTTGGGTTATACAGAAACTAATGTGGAGAGGGAAAGTGACTTGCTCAAGTTTACATGAGCAATAATTAGAGGAGCCTGGGACTCAAATCCAGATCACCTAACCACTATTTCCTTTGTGCTATCTCCTACCCAAGGCAGGTGACTGTGAGAACCTTACAGAAAGAAATGCAAAACAAACAAGTTTTCAGCTATAAAACTATACTAATTAAGGGGCTGGGGTTGTGGCTCAGCGGTAGAGCCTCGCCTCATATGTGCAAGGCCCTGGGTTTAATCCTCAGCACTGCATAAAAATAAATAATAAAATAAAGTTACTGTGTCCAACTACAAAAAAATAAATATTAAAAAAACTATACTAATTAAGAATGTTAAGCAATTTGGTACATTATAGAGGAAGAACTATAATTAACCTAATATTTTAAGGTGAAAACTTACCAGAGACAGATTACTTTTCTCTTTAGAAGCATTTCTTATACTTCAAAAGTCCTCAATTTAAGTAGGAAAAAAAATAATTTGACTGAAAAAATGGGCACAGGGCCTGAATAGGTATTTCACCAAAGACATACCAATGGCTAAGATGTACCTGAAAAAATGCTCATCGAGTCAAAGAGATGTAAATTAGAACCACAATCAGGTACCCACTCTACCTACCATGATGGCTAAATAAAAGACAGACAGTAGCAAGGGTCAGCAAGGATGTGGAGAAACTGGAGCTGTATATAGTGCTGGTGGGAATGAAAAACTGGCATTCTCTGTGGAAAACAGTCTGGCAGTTCCTCAAAAGGTTAAAACAGTTACTGCATGACCCAACAACCCCATTCTTAGGTATAAACCCACGAGAACAGAAAACATCAGTAAAATTTATACACAAGTGTTCACAGCAATATCACTCATAAGCAGCTCCAAAGTGGAAACAATGTCCATCAACTGATGGATTTTTAAAAGTGACATATCCACATGATGGAATAGTCATAAAAAGCCACTGATATGTGCTATATAATATGAATGAGTTTTGATAATATTGTGCTAAGAAGTTAGTTATGAAAGACCATCTACTGTATGATTATATTTATGATACAATAAGAGGCAAATCCACAGGCAGAAAGTAAAGTAGCTACCACTACGGGATGGAGTTGGATGTTCAGTGGAATAGTGTTTCTTTGGGTGTTGATGAAAATATTCTAAAACTTGATTATGGCAATAGATAATTAGTA